GGGGGTGATGTGTCGCCAAGGTCTTCTAAACCGAAGGCACATCCACAGGGACCCATTCTTCCATTACAACAAGATGAAGAAGACACTGAAGAAGAACTGGTCCCAGACGACCCCGGACAACCGTCCGCTCCTCCTCACCCTTCTGGTTCACCAGAACCGGAGAGCGATGCCGAGTCAGAGAACACAAGGTATTACTCTGATGAGGAAGGTGACTTGGTCGTAGATGAGAAGGACTGGGTCCTTCTCACAGAAGAACAGAAACTGTGCAGTAACACAGGTTCTTTCTCCATGCCTCGGTACATGCATGGCGGACCCGTGGACATCAGAGAGGTAACATCAAGAGTGAGGTCAGACCGAACACGGTATAAACCCACTAAAAGGTTTCGATCTGACATCCGTGAAGAGTATGATCTTCTCACGGAAGAGGACAAGGCTTATCTCTAAGTTCCTCCAGGAACTCAGCGAACTTAACCCAGAAGGCACAGCGGAAGGAGGCAACCGCCAAGGAAAAGCGTGAGATGAAGAAACAGTTTGATGAAGCGAAAGCAGCAGAATATCAGAGCTGGCTAGACAATGATGTCTTTGAGCTCGTCGATACACGGAAACTCGGAAACATCCGAAATTATGTCACTGGTCGATGGGTCCTGACTCTAAAAAGAGACAAGGACGGAAACTTCCTTAAGTGTAAGGCCCGATGGGTCCTGAGAGGTTTCCAGGATCGACAGAAGGACATTCAGCAAACTGATAGTCCTGCTGCGAGTCGCCCAGGCTTCCGCTTAGCGATTCAACTAGCAGCTAACAAGCTGTGGAATCTGACACACATCGACTTAAAGACTGCTTTCCTGCAGGGTGAAGCCTATGATGAGTCGAGAGACATAATCTGTCAGATTCCTCCTGAAGCAGGTTATCCTTCCCTACATTGCAGCGAGGATGAAGAAACCCGCTTATGGACTTAACGATGCACCTCGAAGATGGTGGAACATCGTTGATAAGGCACTCCTGTCTTATGGCCTGGTGCCAACCCGTGCGGATCGCTGTACATATGTTCTGTATGGTAAGAAGTCTGCAACAGCAGATGCTGAGCTCAAGAAGTCTCAGCCAAAGACCATGGAATCAGCGATTGACTATCTCCTAGATCCCATAGCAGGCAACAATGCCAAGGGTAGACAGGTACATGGAGTAGTCTGTTTGCATGTAGATGACCTGTGCATGGCCGGTGATGACACCTTTCGTAAGGCCGTTATAGAATCGATCAAAAAGGAATTTGCAGTAGGTTCTGAAGATACGAATGATATTATGTTTGTAGGACAGAGATTAGTCTGGAAGGATGCTACAGCATCAGTGCCAGCACATATCTCAGTAAACCAGAACCTAGCTGTTGAAGCTCTAGAAGAAATTGTTTTCGACAAGAAGCTCAACAATGAGCAACAGTGCACATCACAGCAGCACACTGCTTATAGAAGTGTTTTAGGACAGATCAACTGGCTACAAAGCCGGACTCAAGCTCACATCTGTTATCGCTTCAGTCGGTGTGCGAGAAGGCTGCCAAGCCTACTATCGGTGATATTCGAGAATTGAACAAGCTTGTTAGGATTTTGAAGTCTACTGAAGTAGAACTGCGTTTTTGGCCGCTGAAAGGAAATCTCAGAATCCTCGGTTACCCTGATGCTTCCTACAGGAACAATGATGACAAATCATCTCAGAGAGCACATGTTATTTTCCTTGCTGAAGATCGAAATCC